TCGTCAACCAAAACAATCACTTAGAAGCAGCACCGCACATCCAAGTATATCCGGCGCGCCGGGCACTTGTACCCGGCATGTGCTCTCTAGCTATATCTAGCCGTATAGTTACAATAGCGCGGTAATTGATTACCTTTCGGCTTTCCTTTCAAATCATCGTTGCATTATTCATTCACCCGGCGAGCCGGGTATAGGCATTTGCTCACTAGCTATATCTATATAAGCATCATTATTCGCTCACCCTGCGCGCCTGGACCCGGCATTTGCTCACTATCTATATAGCCGTATAGTTACAATAGCATGGCAATTGAATTCCTTTCGGTTTCCCTTTCAAATCATCATCATTACATTATTCATTCACCCGGCGCACCGGGTATATGCTCACTAGCTATATTCAGTTTTAATACCAAGAGTATAGCAATTCAAGTCCTTTCGAATTTCCTTTCACATCATCATCATCATCATCATCATCACATCAATTTTTCCCTTCCCGGCACACCAGTACCCGGCGCGCCGGGTCCCGGCATTTGCTCTCTAGCTATATTAAGCTGTATAGTTGCAATAGCAGCAATTGATTTCCTTTCGGCTTTCCTTTCAAGTCATCATCATTACATTATTCCTTCACCCATGCCTGTACCCGGCGCGCCGGGCACCGGTACCCGGCCCGCCGGGTCCCGGCATTTGCTCTCTAGCTATAATTAGCCGTATAGTTACAATAGCATAGCAATTGATTTCCTTCCGGCTTTCCTTTCAAATCATCATCATTAAAGTATTCATTCACCCGGCGCGCCGGGTATATGCCGGTACGCGGCGCGCCGGGCACCGGTACCCGGGCACCGGTACCCGGCACGCCGGGTCCCAGTATGCCAATAACGTAGCAATTGACTGGGTGAGTGGAAGTGGGTGCTTTTGATCATGAACCAATCCAGAAACCAATTCCATTGAGGTGGATCTGGTCGAGCCTACACAAATGCCACCAAGCTATGGTTTGGGTTGGCAAGCATGACCTCCAGTACCGGAACATACAGGGGAATGCCTGCTCGACTTGTGCTGCTTGCAAGAAGCTTTTGGACACACGCCAGCTGATGCCGGATGCACAAGCTTCAAACCAGTCAGGTTCTTGAAGCCGCAGATGTTGTGGCCATTAGTTCAAGTGATGATGACGGTGAAAGCCATTGCCCAAGAAGAAACGGGGCCATCCTGCATCTGGACACGGAGGCTTTTGCTTGGAGGGTTGGCTTGGGGGTGAAAGGCCGAGGATTTACACTTTCTTGCCCGAAGAAAAAGGCACGACGAAGAAGCTCCCTGTGCAATGTGGGTTGCGCGGCTCCAGCTTTGCAGCGCAGCGAAGTTCCACCAACCATTGGATCCTGCTTCATGAAAAGTCTGAGAAGCACCGGCTGGCAATGATTATGAAAACAATCTCTTCAGAGCGCTCAGAGGGTAGGCAGTCGGTGAATGGCTGCAGTGGCATTTGTTTCAATGAGGAGGGTGCACGCGGAGCACGTTTGAGCAAGATGGCAGGTGTGTACCAGACTTGGTATGATGCTGGCTGTATCTCCTTGGATGGCGATGCAACCCGCCACATCGCACTGGAATGGAGTCAAGCAAGTGGACTGGTGCTACGCGCTAAGTCTTGTAAGGGAGCTCAGGCTCCACCGTTGCCTTGTGGCTGGTGTGGCCACTGCCAAGCTGTCTCACAGAACCGGCGGGTCCATGCCAGTGTGTCCACTTGGGCTTACAAAATTGACGCTGCTTGACTGCAAACAGGACTATGAGCATAGTTATGAGCGCGCATGTCCATTTTTGACAGCGCTAGGAGCTGCTATCCAGCCAGCAGTACTACTGTGTGGTAAGCAAATTCAGTGCAGGGCTTGCCATTACATGAGAGCTAAGCCCGCAAGTTTGCGCCATGAGGTTGTGTCACTGCTTCACATCATGCTGCAGGGCGATCCAAGCAGTGTGGGGCAGCACTTGTCGCACATGAAGCTTGCCGGGGACAATCAGCATGTGGCAGTTGCAGCAGAAGAGCTTCAGCGCGCTAGCTTTTTGCAGCGTGGCCTTGAGTTGTGGATCACGATGCAACCATTGCGTTTTTTATTCTAAATCCTTAAGTAAAAGATTGTCAGCAGGACTCGTAGCGGCCTGCCTCATGGTCAACAAACTTCTGCCTCATTTTCTTCATTGGGGCCCTGCCCAGGCAAGTGCTGCACAAAGCGCAGGCCCTCCTCGCCCGCACACCACGATCCCTTCGATCTGCCAGCTTGAGTCAGTTTATAGCATCAAGATTGCTGTGGGTCAAGCCCTGCATGTCGGACCTTCAGGTCACTTCGGAACAATGAAAACTTATTCAGCAAATTGCTGCCAACTTCGCGAGTGGCATCGCAAGTCCTGCAGAACAAAGGGCGTCTGTGTTGATCTCATCCGGGGTCCTGCGAGGGCAAGAATTCGCCCGTGCCCTCCTCTTATTGATTGTAGGCAAGGCCGAAAAGGAGAAACGAGGCCTGGTGAGGACCGGCAGTTCCAGGCCTCCAGAATGCAGCCACCTCGTGGGCAACCGAGAGCTGATGCGTGAGCGGGGCCTGAATGCAAAAGGCTTACCACCGATAAATTTCTGGGATGAATCATTACCAGTTCCATTTTCTGCAGATCTGGGTTCCTCACAAAGGCTGGTCACCAACCTCGAGACTTGCATGACATCGTGCCGCGCAGAGTTCAAGCGTGCCTTGGGCTGCGCAGCATGCACATGTGTTTTTGGCAGCTCAAGCCTGTGAGGGCGGGTAAGGGGCAACTCAACTCAATCGAAATTACAATGTTTCAATATGAGGCAGCTACATGCTGCTTTTCGACGAAACTGCTTTTGCAGCATCACAAGAGCTGCTGAAGGGTTTTGGCCCTGGCTGTCCCATGGTGGTGGGCGCGCCGTTTCCCTGTCACTTACCAGACGTTGGGGCTGACGTCAAGGAGCTGGCAACGCAGGCCATGACAGTGTGCACGAAGCGGTGCGATTCGAAGGAAGCAGTTTGGGCGGTCAAACCGCCAAAGCAAGAAGCCAATCCGGCATGCAATCCGGCATGTTGGAGTTGATTGGGCAAGTATTGGACGCCTCTGTCATGGCAAATCATGATTTGCCACCTTTGTGCTTGGCTGCCGATGGCCATGCCAGCCACTGGCGCATTTTTGCCATCCTAAGTGGCCTTGAAAACCCTGCCAGATTACCATCCAATGTGCCCTTCTGGTCCAAGTGTCACTCGGATGTGTAGAAGTATGTGATGAACCTTGAGTTGTGCTTTGTGATGCTGAAACACCTGTGATCCATGTCACCCATGAGCAGGAGACTATTTAATCCAAAGCGTTTTTGTTGGCCGAAGATACAGTACAGGTGTGCCAGTGTTTGTTTCCTAAAATTGTTTGGGGTGCCTCTTGCAAGGCTCACCCGGCTCAGTTGAATGCGGCCGACCGGTGGGGACCCAGCTTTGGCCTTTCCGCACGGTCTTCTACAAGTCGCATGCGATGTGGGGTGGCTTGGATGCGGAACACCTTCAAAAGAGTTTGTCAAGATGCTGCAGAGCTGCTTGTCGCATCCTTGTCTGCGGCAGCTTCTGGGTCAGCCCAACATGCCTTGTGGGGTCCATGCCCGCGCAATCATTTGAGAATGTCAACAGCATGAGGCTGGACACATGACTTGCTGACAAAGTGTTTTCGGTGTTTTGACATGGAGCCAATGCCCGCAGTAGCGCAGCGACCTTGAAGGTACAAGGATGCAGTGTGGATCATGCATTGCAATGCCGCTGCTCAGAGTTGGACTGGCTTGGGTATGGCATGCTACCAGCTGGCTTGCACTTTGTTGATCACTTGCTGGACAGCAGCGGCTGGTTTCTATACACCAGCGGAAATAGCGTCTTGTTACCAGTACGTAATGCCCTTCTTACTAGTAGCGATGCACTTATCACTAGTAGCAAAACACCCTAAGTAGCTATACGACAATGGGGGGCTGCGGCGCCGTTTCTTTTGTGGCAAACCTGCTTGTGTGACTTTGTGACCTTCAGGTTGAAAGACGAAAGTCAAAGGCCGCAAGAAATGCGATACCGTTGTATCATGGCGGGCTTTGACCCCGACAACACCGAAGAAATGCAAGAGTTCATCCGTGCCAGCACCTTGCATCTTGGCCTATTCAGGTCTCGGGGACGAAGCGTGTTCAGCGGCAGGCTAAGCCTATTTTGATTGATCAAGTCTCAAGCTGTCCATGCAACGTGAAGAAACATCTCCCGAAGACGACTCGAAGACGGCTGAGGCAAGCCTTGGAAGAGGACCATCCCCTGCCCAATGCGGTGGTGAACCAGGAGAGCCGAAACGCCATGGTTTAGAATGGTTTAGAAGGTAACAAGACCAAGAGCATACAAACAAAGACACGTAATATTGTATCTACGCATGTGCAGCTGCGTTTTAGTTTAACCAGGTACTTTGAGAGTTGAGTTTGTACTACTTGATTTGATTGTAGCACATATGACTGGGTTGTTGTGGCTTGGAATTGGAACATATAGTGAAGTGAGTCTATCAATCCACGGTGGTTCCACCAAACATGAAGACTGCCAGAAGGGGATATTTTCGGATAAAGAAACGGAAGAACAAGAACTAGCGAGAAGAAAATGAAGGGCAAGACCCTGCAGGCTGCTGCTGGGCCACAGCAGAGCAAGCTCTCCATCAATAGCCGCACATTCAGCAGAGAACATTCTTCAAAGGAGGCAGCCGAAACGCCCTGGCCGGCTGTTTGACTTGTTTGGCCCCTGATGTTTGGCTTGAAAAGTTTGTAAAGGAATTGTCTTGGACTTTGCCCGCAGATTTTGGATCGAAGAACTTGCAAACGAGCGTCTTCCCTCGTGTTCCGAACGCTCGATCGTCGTAGGGGACGAAAGACGTGATCGACGACACCGCAGAGGAACGCACTGTGAAGGACCGCACACTGGGTGGGCGGTGAGTTTTTTGAAACGGATTGGGAATATGACACATGACATGTGTCAAAAAAACCATCGATTCGCAACGTGAGAAGATCCCGAAAACGAAGGTGGACTCCCGAAAACCTCAGGTTTTTTCCCGAAAGCACCTGCCAAGGGTTCTCCGTAAAGAACGGCTGCCAACTTCAACTGTCCGACCATCATCATCATCCTCCTCCTCCTGCTCCTCCTCATCATAATCTGACAGGCGCACAGATGCAGGTGATGCACCAGCTCTGATACACCTACATAGATACATGCCCAGGTGTTTGCGAAGACACCTACAAAACGCACCTACGCAACTACAACTTGGACATCTGATCTTCTCTTAAGGCAGCGGGGTGGCCCGGCCGGTACTCACGAAACACGCCCTTTGCGGAGATCCTGCGTGTTGTGTGCTCAGACTCAAACGTGACGTGAAATGTGATTTTGGCCGCGGCAACCCCTTTGCGTAGGTCGTGCATGGAGTGCGTAACTCTCATCAAACATGAAGGTGGACGTTGCCAAAGTGTGTAGCTGTCATCGGCGTGGCTTTGAGAACGAACTGGGCAGCTTTGTAGCGCAAATGTAGTGCAGGGTGCAGGCACCACCTTCTGGCATGGCATCCAAACTTTGCATTGCAGCTTTGTAGTGCAAATGTAGTGTGGGAAGCAGCTTCTGGGAGCTGTGGCCTCGGAGCTGGGGACTATGTAGCGCAGCTGATGGGAGCTCCGCTCACTTTGTATATACAGTCGCAGGGCTGGAGCCATCTTGTGTTCCTAAGCGGTTTTTGGTACTGGTGCTTTCGATTGAGCTGTGTTGCTTCAATGTCCTGCTCAGTTGCAGGAGTACAGTGCAAGCATCTTCACGGCGATGGTCATGTCTGAAATCTTCGTGAACCAATATTGGGTTCCTGCTCTAGCTGCTAGCCGCCCTGTTCTTGCACTCTGCAAGCAGCAGTTGCTTGCAGCACGCTGCGCCGCTTGTTTCAACGGACGTCGTGCTGCTGTCATCAGTGCGCTGTATGATTGGCTGGCCCGTGTCGTGCGTATCATGTTCATCATCATCATCACCATCATCATCATCATCATCGTCATCATCATCCTCACAATCCTTATCGTCGTCATCCCGGCTCTCTTTCATCTCCTGCTGTGCTGTCGGGCCACCCTGTCATCTGGTTTTCTGAGTTGGTACAGGTTCAGTGATCATTTGTTTGTTGATAAGACTTCACCCAGGAAGTCAAAGCTTGAAAAAAACGTGTCCGAACTCCGAGATGACAAGGGGAATTTGGAACCTCGACCGCTCCGTTACGAGGAGAAGCGGATATTGAGTAAGGCAGACGGTCTGGAAGCAGCAGTTCAGAGTATGCATGAACAGCACCTCCAAAGTGTCTCAAACTCAGTTGTTGAGCGAAAAACTGACTGATTGACTGACTGACTGACTGACTGACTGACTGACTTGACTCGGTTGACTCGCCCCACACTTGCGTAGTTTTTGTGAAGGGTCCTGTGAGTCCTGTGTATGTCCTGTGTACACGATCCATTGTCCAGTTATGCCCAGTTTGCCCTGCATTCAAACATGCATGGAGTGAATCAGGGAACACTCACAAACCTAAAATTAAAACGCCTTGGGGGAACAGCAGATGATGGCAATTTCGTGAACTGAGTAACTATAGCAGTTCATCCAGTCATCGTTTTACTTTTGTTTCTCTCTGCTTCAGGTTCAAGCCATCGCCGAAGAACTGCAAGAATATCAGCTGCAATCGTCCGAATTTGAAGAAGAACTCTCGTGAAGTGGCTGCAACGAGACATGGCGTCGCTTTTAAATCTCCTCTTTGAATTCTTTGAGTTGTTTTGAATCCTTGGACCTCTCTTGGAATCTGAAAACACAACTAGAGGATGACAACTTGTAGGTCTTAGGTTGCAGCCTCCAACAAGTACTGCAGGAACGCTAGGAACCCGGAACACTTGGGTTCGGAAAGCTAGAAGACCAAGATGACGAAGAAGACGCGTCTTCAACGCGCACACGTGGCAAGGTCCACGCACCAGGTGATTTTCACACAACTCTATGTCGTGTTCTCTATGCCAGGACACTGGAGAGAGCCGTGCGAGGTTACAGCAGGAAGGGTCAAGAAGGTGCCAAACTGGGCAGCTCTGATGGGGGGATGTGCGGACGCCCTAAAACACCTTAAGATGAATTGCTTTCCATTGCTTTCCCGTCTCACCACAGGGTTTTGCGTGTCATCACAAAGCCACCACCTTCATTCGCCTTTCAGAAGTGGTCAACCGGCACCTTCCGTCGCGAAAACCATGCGGTCGGCGCGTCGACTCTCGCTCCTGTTGTCGTATGAGTCGGCGCAGGTGCGAGTCAACTGGAGGAACGCTTTCGAGACGCCAACCTCCATGTCGTGCAGGCGAAGAGGGCGACGAAGAGCTCCAGTGTCAATGCAGCAAAGTTCAGCAAAAGTACATGTTCACACAGATACATGTTCAAAGTTCAGCAAGAAGGGCAACCCAACATCACAGAACCCTAATGCATCCGCATCCGAATCCGATCTCCTAATCCGCATCCTAATCCGCCTTCGGTCCGGAACGTCCAGGACCTGCCAGACCGACTCTTTAAGCTCTCCCAGATGGCCAAGGACGACCGCGTTCCCGAACCAAAGCGCCGGGGGACGGGACCGACGCTGTCCCGGAGACTTCTGCAGCCCGGACCGCTGCAAGCAAAGTACCGTAGCACGTGGGGTGTTCTTGGTGCCGGAAATGGAAGTCTTCGGTTTTTGTTGATGAAATTTGATGAACCATTGTTCGACAACCTCTCACACAAGCATCAGCGCAGGCATCGCGCCAGGTGGTGGAGAGACCTTTGACTGCAGATAGCACTGCAGATGAAGGGCAACATGGAACGTCAAATGGCGATTCTTTGACATTGAGGGCACAGACATGTCCAAACGTCATGTGGTTTGGGTTCTTCTTGGAATCCTTGTGCTGATTTTCTACTGCTGTGCAGGAGTGACTGTGCATTTGTTGAGGGTGTTACACTCCGACTCACATCCAAGTGGAAAGCACATCGTTTTGTGAAGGAAGACGTGGCCTTCCCAGGGGACCATATACACGTCCATCCCCCCCCACAGAAATCCACAGATCCTCGTAGAGCGGAGTGGAGAGTGGATGTTTGCGCCTTTTCCGTGAGTGGTCGTACCGGACCAGGTGGGAAGGCAGGCTTTAGTTCCGACCCCTTGAAGCGCCTGGAGAGCCGTATCGCCGCTCTCTTCCAGCACTCGCAGACCTTCTTGGACCAAGCAGAGGTGCCTTGGAGAAACAGAGGTCGACTGCTGTGCCCCCTCTTTACATCGGCCTTCCCCGCAGAGGAAGGACTGGCCCCCCGCTTTTGGCAAAACAACGACAGGATGTACCGATAGATTTTGAAACAGAGGTCGACTGCTTTGGCCACACTTTCGACGCATGACATGTCGAGATGGGAGGTCTTTCATGTTATTTTTGAAGGCATGTTTTTGCCACCGAGGCCCAGCATGACCTGTACCTTTTGCTTGACCGCTTGATTTCAACGGTGGCACTGATGGGCAAAGGATAGGCAAGGAGAAAGTTAAGATGGCTCAATTAGGCATGGAATGGATGCCATGGTGAACAACGAGATACTCAGTATACCCTCGAGCCCTTGAAGCTGTTCGCTGTTCAGCTAATTGAATTCATAAGTCTTCGAACCGGAGCATGAACCATATGAACCACTATATAAGTGAACCATATAACCACATCCACTGCAGCATCCGACCGATGACGAGATGACCTGCCGGCGTGTCCAAACCACGGTCCTTCGTTTGCCGCGCGACCGACCCAAACGGAGCCTCCAACGAACGGAGGGGCGCTCCGTTCGTGGGACGTTACGAAACCAGGGAAGCTCTACGAGACGTAGCTTCTAGGGCATCGCTGCGAAGGTCGCAAGAGACGCTACTCACTTCCAACTTAAGTCGATGCGAATTTGTCTTGTGTCGTTTGAGGACCTGCACACCGGCGGGGAAACCCCGGTTGCTCCTCCGCTTGTGCAAACGTACTCCAGCGGTCGCTCCACGCACGAGTTTCACGCACGCCCAGTCGGTGACGCCGGTCTCAAGCACTCCCATGTTACATGGTGACCAAGATTTGGCCAGACTTGAGTGGTTAGGTCATTTGTGGGTAGCGTTACCGCGTTACCCATGTCTATGTACAATCAGGGCAAAAGCCGTGTGATGTTGCATGACATATCGATCTCTGGTCCGTTCTACATTGAAGAACAGAGTTTGTTCTACATCACATGTCCGTTCTACATCACAATGCACAACATATGTTCTACATGACAATGTACATGTTCTACATTGTGATCAGTCATCTACATTCGTCTCATGTTCTTCGGCGGTGCCACCTGCTAGTAGCAGGGTTCATAGCAGCCCGCTTCCAGACGGAGCTTGCGCCAACGGAGCGCGCGGAAACGAGAATGTGCTGATTTCATACGCACGGATCCAATCAGACCCCGTTTGAATGTGCAATTGAGTGAAATCACATTGATTCAATGGTCCTCATGGTCCTCTCCCCAAGCTGAAGGTGTTCGTAAGGGTGTGAGTTTTGGAGTGTTTATTCAACCCCTCCATGATCCGTTGCTTCAGCGGAGCTTACACTGTTCTGCCGAGCTAGCTTGAGCTGAACAGGCCGCTTGAAGGAGCTGCTCAGGCTACGAAACGCACTCGGCATAATCAGCAAGCGGCGCTCTCTTGGAGTCCTTCCTGCAGCTTCGAATTTGGCTCCGACAATCTCAAGAGCAGAAGAGACAAGTGGCAGTGGGCCTCCACCCCAACCATGTTCATGGTCATTCTGAGTCGTTCTTTAAAGTCAAACACACACACACACAGAGCTCTCTCTGACGTGCGTTCGACGCTTTGATTGGTATCGACATTTTCGACGGTTCGACGTCGGGCGATGGCTGACGACTTCGAGTCCGAAGACAAGACACTTGGACGGTCATTTTGAGGTTTTGAACAGACCTGGACCTTCCACTTGCAACACGGCAGAAAACCCAAAAGAGCAAAATATATAGCCCTGTTGAGGCCCCAGGGATGTCTAAATGAAGTTGAAAACATGTTTCCACAGGCTTTGAACAGACACTAGATCCCCATAGGTCAAGATCGGAATCCATCCGTCACACCCCTGTGGTATTCTGAGACCCGCGAAAAAAAGGCCGGCCGAACAACTCCGAGGCAGAAAATTAGGGTGTTACCCATGCAGTGAAGCGTTGTCTCAGGATTGAGCAGCTGAACAACTTGCCAATATGGATGAAGATCAGCGAGGGCGACATTCATTTGGTCGCATGGTCTTTGACTGTTTGACGTTCCAATTTCTTTCAGATTTCCCTTGAAGTCCCTTGTCCCCCGCAAAATGTTTGTGTGGAAGAAAGGACAAAGTCCTGCAACCGTCCTTGAAACTCTTGGATGTTTCTCTTTGGCTGGATTTGGCCTCGGCTGAGTTGGGATGGTGTTGGCTTTCCAGTTAGGTTCCGCAGAGGGCAGGGTGCCTTTCTTGGTGGGTCGAGGGCGGTGCCATTCGATCTTCCAGAGATGCACCACTGCAGATCGAACGACGAAACCACGGTGCCCCGGGGCCCCGCGTTCGTTGGGCGCCCGGGCCGTAGCGGGCTGCCCAATCTTCCGCTGGCCGACTCCGATTCCTCACGTGAGCCAGAAACAGATCAGGAGCGTTTGTCCGGGCATACCAAGATGCGCCAAGCTTGATTTGAGTCCTGGGAGACCTATATATTATGATTCATATTATACCCAGGGTTATATGGAATTAATAATTATATAATGTAGTCATACCATAGTCGTAACTGAGAGAATCATGTTTTCGTCTGTTTTTGCATGTCGGTCTGAGCGTGTTCTCCCGAGGTGACGATGAAAGATGTTCAGCAGCTCTTCAACGTCATGGACGATGGCAGAAAAGGCTACATCTCCGGGGCGGTGCCTTGAAAGAAAGCTAGAAACCCAGAACTTCCAATGAATCATTTAAAAAAAGACCTGCACTATATTGTTTGGACTTCACTGGACACGGTTGCCTATGCCTCTTCCGTATGCAAGGGCGAAGGGAACATACTAGCTCAACTTGTTACTAGCTTCTGGCCTCCAACCGCACTCAAAAGGCCTCCACATGCCTCCACGCCCCAACGCTTTTTCCTCGGGGACGCTATAATCGGGAGCATCGGGCGGTCCGACTCGGTCCGACTGAGGACCTGATGACGCTGCAGGCAGTGGACGCGGCCAACTTGACAGAGAATGACCTGCAGGAACCGAAGGGCGGAAGATGATGTCCTCCTGTTTCTGAAGGGGCGGAATTTCGACCTTCCACATCCGACCTTTCACCTTTGACCAGTCCTATCCTGCCTACCAGTCCTTTCAGAAAGCCGCCCTGCCCAGCCCCGCCCTGCCCATCGCCCCGCCGCCTTAGGAACTCGTGAAGGACGTGGACAAAGACGGCAACGCCAAGTGCTCCGTGCCTCGGAACCCGTCGAAGCGAGCTCCGGCGAACGGGTCGAGAGGTCTCGGAACCGACCCGTTCGACTTGAAAGAAACACAACGACATCATTATATTATAGTCTTATATAGTACATAGCTATTACATAATATATAGTATTACATAGCTATTACATACCTAGCGCTTCCGGTGTCCTGTCTGGAGACCTATAAGTGTAGGGTTGTCCAGCCAGGTGACCCCGAACGGAAGCAGCTGGTAGTATGCATTTAAGCATGTTTTAAGTCTTCTATTTTATATACATTGCAGGGAGCCTTCAAAGGGTGATGGGATGGTGCTTTTGAGGGGAGGGCCAGGCTGGCGGGCCAGGATGGGCCAGGAATCGTTCTTTCTTTTGAGGAAAGACCCGGAACCCACTGAGGCGGAGGAGCTCTATCATGCCATCACTTCAGGCGCTTCCGCGGAGCCGACGTGCTGCGACGCTGAGCCGCGGTCGTTCCGATGTGAAGAAGGGGTTTTTCAGCAATCCGGGCGTCCATGTGGATCGATAGGCTTTCCTTTTCAAACGCCACTTGGACCGAAAACAAAAAGAGCAAAACGTGGAAACAGAAACAGAATGAGATGGCGCTCGCCGCGACGTCACGAGCAGGTCGCACCCCCCCCAACCGTGACAGGTCCTGGTTTGTTTTATTCCCCCGAGGGGTCCGACCGCGTTTGGTCGCTTGTGGTCCGCTGTGCGTCCAAGGGACTCAGCCACGTTGTGCCAGCTGTTGTCGCCTTCGAGGGCGCCCTTCGAGTTCTTCCGGAGTTCACGGAATTCGGTCGTTGGTGTTTTTTTTTGTTTTTGTCCATGCTTTACATCTTTACCTAAGACCGTGTTCTGCCAGCTGCAGTGGAGTCCGACTCTTTAGCCCGTCACCTCTTAGACGTTTGACGAATCGAGCTGCATCGGTAACCGAAGCTTCGCAGAACTTTGAACGACATGTATCATGGGTCGATGCGAGACGGATGAACAATGGTTTCAAGGCCTTCTCCAGCTAGGTAACGGTATGAAGTTGGCGTACTTCGCTTTTCGTTATATGTGTACTGTATTTATCACACCACAAATGAGTAAAGAGCGGTCGTGAGTTTCAGGAATTGGGCCAAAACCTGCAAAGGCGATACCCCCCGTCCAAAAGTGATAACCTTACTGAATCATGTTCTCTACTTGACTACGTTTTGGCAGACGCTCACATGTAGCTAATAAGAGAAGGCGCACTCCCAAGACACAAAGACCCCACAGTGTTACCGAAGAAAATAAATCACAGATCTTTACACAGGCACTATCGCCTTCAACATGGTGAAGGAGAGCTTGAGAAAAAAGGAGGCTGGAATTGCTTCGATAGATGGCTTGGTGGATTGTTTACTGCGTTGAGTAACGACATGATGGTGCATGATGACTTTGTCTTAGAGTGTTGGCAGGCTGGTTTTCGCAACGAGTCAGCTTGTTTGTTCTATTCAGCGACATGTCGTGTTTCTGCCAGCCTCCGCTGGCAGAGCTCACTCGTTGCGGTGCCAGGTGGAGATCAGGTCCTACAATTGCGAAAGGGAAAAGCTCTTGGAATGGCTACTCGGATAAAATCGATGGCTCACATGCAAAGAAAGAAAGCAAGGTGCAACAGCTGCCTTAATGAACGTCAAAGCTGAATTCTTCTTGATTGTGTTTCCAACAGACTGGCAGAGCAGTTGCCATTCGCAATGTCTTCAGGATGACCATGGAGTATGAGACCACTGCAGCTCTTTGGTCCTTGCCGATGACCATTGGCTCCTTCATTACTTTCGCACTGGTCTGGTACTGAGCGAAGACCGACGTTCGCTTGATGAGCGCTCTTTTTCAAGACACCTGGTGCTTCCTTTGACATCTTTGACCAACCTTTACCTGAAAACATTCTGAGCTTGCTGGCACACAGCCGCAGAACCCTGCTGAGTGTTCTTTGCAAAGCTGCCCTGTTGCATTAGATCTGCAGCGAAGTTGAGGTGGCAAACACTCACATTGACCTCTTCAATGCTTGGAGAGTACACAATGCCTTGGAGGAAATGCTGTGACTGCAGCTGCTGTTTCCTGTTTCTTCATATCTTTTTTCACGGCGAATCGTGTTGTACTGTGTCAAGAGCAGCTGTGTCAAGAGCAGCTGTGTCAAGTAGCACCTGTCTGGCACCAGACAGAGCCCTTTTTTTCACCTCGTTTCGGAGAAATGGCAGCCCTGGCTTCAGAGCCGACAGGAGCAATTTCCTGTGCTACAACTCCCATACAAGTTCAAAGTCGTCGATGCCCGACTCCAAGTCGCCTAGTTCGACTCGACTCGACTCAGCGCGAAACGACTCGCACGAAACGACACGATGTGCTGACCGCGTGCTGACTGGTTACCTGGGGGGGGAGACGTCGCACGGCGGCGTCATCGAGGTTCCCACTCTGATTACATGGACGCGGAGCCTTGGCAGAGACGAACAGAGTTAAACGGAGCCATTTGGACAACTGGATTTCACAGGAAACTAATTGTCCTAAGTCTTTTTCACCGCATGTACGTACATGTAAATATCGGACCATGCTATGACCTCTACTCCATTTCTGAGATATTAAGATACATATTTCTCAATTTCTCAAACCATTTTGGAAGTTTGAAAAGCAGACTGCAGACGAGCTCTTTGGAGTTCCGAGTGAGCTCGCGAGCACCGAGTGAGCCAGAAGGCAGAACTGACCGCCCATCGGTTGCTCCCCCGCCGTTCGGTTGCTTCGGTTCCTCCGGGTTGAGCTTTTGCCGGTGTGACCGGCGCGTCCACGGCTCGCGTCTCATGCCGAAGCGCCGAGGGAACACTACTTGCCGATCATCTTTCGTCAAGATCCCATTTACGATCCACTGCCGGGGCGTGTGGCGCACCAGCTCCTCGAATGTTTGCATCGTTTGTTGAAGAGAAGGTGAAGAGAAGTGCGTTGTTTCATTCAAAAGACCACAGTTGCACGTCTTGCACCAGAAATGATCCAACCCTTTCAGAACCAAACAAAAACAAAGAAGTCCGAGGATCCCTTTGACAGCTGAAGGTTTTTGTGGTCACAATTGGTCTTCACGTTGCATTCAAGGAATCAAATGATCACTGGCGTGCGGTTTGCAAAGTTCTACCGCAACCCCGTGGACTGCCCGCTCACCAGCAGCGTGCTCCGATCCTCGCTCTGAAACGTGGTGTCTTCGTCGACTCCAGGGACGTTTGCGCGACGTGGAGGCCATCGCTATCAGGTTGGGGGCCATCGCTATCAGGTTGGGGGCCATCGCTATCAGGTTGGGGGCCATTGCTGTCAGGTTGGGGGCCATCGCTGTCAGGTTGGAGGCCATCGCTATCAGGTTGGGGGCCATCGCTATCAGGTTGGAGGCCATGGCTATCAGGTTGGGGGCCATTGCTGTCAGGTTGGGGGCCATTGCTGTCAGGTTGGAGGCCATCGCTATCAGG